AAGGTCAAAACTTCATTTACAAATTTTGTATTGGTTAGTTTGACTTGGTTTACCTTTGTATTATTAAGGTAAAAACTTTATTTACAATTTTTGTACTACTTAATTTAATTTGTTTTACCTTTGTATTATTAAGGTAAAAACTTCATTTTATCTCAGAAAGCTACTCAACTTTGAATTTCATTCCAAAGGTTACTCAACTATGAGTATTTTACTTACAATGTCACACAATTTTGATTTTTATTTTAACAGTTACTCACTTATGAAGTCACTCATAATCGAATGTCCATATAAATATCTAGTATCAAATGAGTTGAAAACAAAATCAATATTGGGATAATGCACAAGTACCCCCAACCTATGCCCGAAATCTCAGAGACATACTTAAACTAAACTAAGGTCCTATTACCCCGCAGAACTTATTTTGTTAACAATTTTCTACTCCTTTTCGGCCTACATGAGACTATCTTGTGGGCCCAACGCTGGTTGACATTTTTTTCAAACTAGTGCCACGTAGGCCAAAAAGGGGTAAAAAATTACTTAATAAGTTCAGGGAGTAATAGGACCTTAGTATAGTATAAGTGTGGCTTTGTGATTTCGGGCATAGGTTGAGGGGGTACTTGTGCATTTTTCCTATACTCTTGGGTCAAGTTGGGACCCGGGATTGGGGTCAGGAGTTTGTGGTTGAGGTCTCTGGACGGGGTCATGGATCTAGGTTGAGGTTAGGTCCAGAGTTAACTTCGGATTGCAGTTCGTGACATGGGGTCAGTTGTCAGATCCTAGGTTAAGGTTAGGTCATAGTCTGGTCGAGGATCAAGTTTTGAGTCGGTGTTGAGGTCAGGGTTTTGTCTTAGGTCAGTGTTGGGGTAAGGTCAGGTCGAGTCAAGTCCGTGTTTATGTTATAGGGTGGTTCCAGATCTAGGTGTACATAGATACTCTTGGGACAATAATATTCTTTACTAATCAAAAACTAAAAAATAAGTTTGAAAATCATTTATTTTCCACGAAAATATTTTCCTACCAACTAGAAAACAATATGTCAAGGTTCCCAACTTATAAACCAATCAACAAACTAAAGTAAATTGCTTCAGCATTTGCACCATGGATTTATGAAAAGTTCACTTCTTATCTTATTCTTCCTTTTGTGATTAAGGACTTATTGTCTTGCCAAGCTAAGGGGCCACAGAAATATGGTTTGAGCTCAAAAATAACTTCAAGACTCTATGATACACTTGCTTGCTATGTGGTTTGAGCTCATGATTGCCCCAAAGACAGGCGTTGGCGGAGCGAGTCGTGATGGCAAGGCAGAAATGAAGTCTACCAAATCATTCAGATTCTTATGTGAAGTGCAATCAATCTGCATTCCAGCAACTATCTTTTGTTTCATGTCTGCTACTCTTTTCTTCACATCTTTGCCTTCTTCACTTAACATGAGTTTTCTTATTGTTTTCTCTATGACCGTTCTCTCGATAACCTCCAATTCGAACCCAACCTTGTATATTTGGCTCAGATACCTTGCGTTCACCAGTTGGTCTGCTAGAAATGGCCTGCACACCATAGGGACTTCTTCACATATACTTTCAAGCGTAGAATTCCAACCACAATGAGTGAAAAACCCTGCTACCGCGGGATGTGCAAGCACCTGTTTTTGTGGTGCCCATTTCACTATTCGTCCTCTTTCTCCTACCATTTTCTCAAAACCATCAGGCAGTGCCTCAGCACATTGAAAGCCAGAGACAGAGCCAGGTCGAATAACCCACAAGAACGGTTGATCGCTATTAGCTAATCCCCAAGCAGTCTCAATCAACTCTTTGTGATCAATCCTCACTAGGCTACCCAAGCTGACATAGAGAACAGAGTTAGGGGCTTGTCTATCGAGCCACTCGATGCAGCTATTGTCTTCTTCTAGTATGCTAGTCGATGAGACCAAAGATGCCATTTTGTGTACCGGGCCTATTGGAAAAAAGGGCACCTTGTAATGTTCTTGAAGGCGTAACAACATTGAACTCTCCAAGTCTTGCATCGTGTTCCATATAGTCGCGACAGATGATCCTATATCACTCATTGCTCTACAGAAGTCTAGTATCGGTTCTGGAACTGTATTATTGATGATAGGAAACGGTACATCCTTAAATCTCAAGGGATGAAGCTCCGGTAACGGATCCAGCAGCTGAGAATCTGAAAATTGTAGTGAGTAATCAATGCAAGGAAAAAATGTACCGAAATATTTTACTGAAACTGTAAAAATAACAACTTATTCTACTTTCATTTTTTTTCATTTAGATATTGAAGCAGAGGATGTGTACTTGTTCTCATATACCTTCAAAAGGTAAATATATTTCAGGTTGCTGTAAAATGGTGATCATAGAGTGCAAATACGCAGCGCTGAAAGTGCGCAGGACAATGCTGGGAAGCTTCAACTGAGTCGCTACATCATCGACAAAGAACATGACGTTGTCATAAACGATACAAGCAAGCTGATCACCTTCCTCTTCCATCATACTAACAAGGTAGTTTCTGAGAGGCGCCTTGCAGTTTTCGTTCATATCATATATGTTTTCTAAACTCGGGAATGACATGTCGATTCCCTGTAATCCGTCATCCATAGAATGGAAGACGAATTGTGGATGATTGGAATAATTAGGAGTATTGTATTGAGTATGTGCAACTATAACAGAAAAGCCTTGTGAATGAAGGATACTACCAAGCTGTAGCATTGGTGTTAAATGCCCCTGGTATGGGTGTGGCACCAGTACTACACTCTGTTTTCTTTCTATTTTCATCTTTTGATTTCTTAAATTTCTGTTTCTTGAAGGAAGTTTATATATAGTATGAGGACTGCAGGGGCGGATCTAGCAAAGTAGCGGTAGTTTACGTGAACGTAATAACTTTTGTTGAAATCATGTATTTGTATCAAATATTGTGTTTGAATGAAGTTCCGATTTTCCTTAAGCTCTTCAAAAATAAATGAAAGTTTTCATATTATGCACCCTTCAACACATCTCATCTTACTCCTACGCCAATAGTCTCTCATTCTCACCTTTTATAGTATTTGTCTAAGTTATATACAAATATTTTTTTTATTTACGTACCAAAGTAAGAAATTCACTTAATTTACTAGAAAACAGTTTTCATAAATTTTATTTCCCTCGTATCAAATACATCCTAAGAAATTCACTAAAAAAAATCGATATGAAATTTATTATTATTATGTATTAACTTGAAATCGTTATAAAAATCTATAAAGTTATGGTCATGAATATATTCTTTTTTTTTTCGGAGTTGAAAAAAATTTAAAATTCAACTTTGAATAATATCAAAAAATTGGTTTCATTCCTTGTACTCTAAATTTCTCACAAAAATTAAAAATGACTCTAATTTTTAAATAATCATTTTTTATTAAAATTTCGAATTTCATAATTTTCACAATAGCCTAAGAGTTTGGAATATTGTGGTGCTACTTTGATATTAAATGAGTGGTAATGAAATTGGCACAACTCACCATTGTTAATCACAAAAAGGGGTGTAATTCTAGAACTATGATTTCTTTGGAGGTTTAGCCACAAGTAGAAGATGCCTCGAACTTGACAATGGTATTATTTGTCTTTTTAGTGTATTGTCTTATAGTCTAACTAATTCTAGAAACATATATTGCATATTTATTTTAAAATATTTTATATAAATTTTATATAGTAAATGATATATTTTCTTCAATTCAAATTTATTGGTATTTACTAAAAATATATTGTTTTTACAATTGAAAGTTCATGTATCTTCCTAATAAAAAGAACACAAATTCTTAATTATAAAATTTACTAAAAGTGTATAAATGGTTGATTCATGTACTAATATGATGATTTACTATTCAATATTTAGTTTATTAAATAATTTATAACATTAATATTTAATGTAGGAATAGAATTGTAATCTAACTTTTTCCTAACATATATATACACACGATGATATGATATTATCATCTTAGTTTACTTAATTAATTGTTAATTATGCTTTCTTTTTTCTTTTGTATGTGAATGGTTCATAAGAATTTGATATTATTCGGTATTATTAAAATTGTTGAAAGACTAAAAGATTGCA